GTATCTGAACACTACCAACCAAAAACAGAATTTCATTCATTTTTAATATTCAAAGCAAACATGTCTATCCATCCATGTCTCCATGCTTTATTTTGCTAAGAAATCACTTTGACCCCCCCCCCCCCCCCCTAGCATTTCTGGTTGCAGCCATCTTGAGTAAGGGCAAATGAGTCATGTGGCATTTACTTCCTGGAATCCATCTGCTCTGAGATCAGGTATGCAAGCAGGAGGGTGTGCTTAGCTGAGAAAAATTCTCTCTCTCTCTCTCTCTCTCTCTCCTGAAGACTCCTGGGATGTATGACATTTGCCTAGGCAAGGAAATCAGGAAGTAACTCAAGAAAGGGTAAATCTGAAATACTTTTATCTATTTATGAATGCTAGCAAGAGTCCCTGTGACTGCGTGGGTTTCCTCTGGGTGCTCCGATTTCCTCCCACACTCCAAAGACATGCTGGTAGGTTAATTGGCTCCTGTCTAAATTGGCCCTAGTATGTATATGTATGAATGTGAGCTAGGGACTTTAAATTGTACGCTCCTTGAGGGTTAGGGAATGATGTGAATGTATATAATATATATGTAAAAACGTTGCGTAAATTGACAGTGCTATATAAGCACCTGAAATAAATAAATAATAAATAAGAGAAGGATTAAAAATAGTGAATGTTGATCGAGAGAGTGAAGTTCTGCTTTAAGTTGGCCATACACTGATCAAAATTCAGACAGTTCACCTGTGGAGAGCAAAGGTTATTAGTTATGAGTGTTGAGTACATGTTACCAACAAATTAGCTAGGAAACAATAGACAAACACCTCTGATAATGTGCATAATTGCATAATGGCAATTTATTGAACATTGATAGGTGCACCTTGTTCCATCTCTCCATACGCCGGGATGCTCGGTATGCTTTTGCTTCATTGCCCCATGCCGGGCCTCTTGGCTCACCAGCAGAAGTTGGCTTCCTATCTGTTTTTATCCGCCACTAGAACAATTGCTCAGGCCTGGAAGAGTCCATTTGTCCCTCTTCAGGGGGTGCGGGATCGTATGACCACTATGATGCTCAAAGAACAGATGTCGAGTATCCGCAACGACTCCCAACGTAAATTTTTGAAAATATGGGAGCCGTGGTTGCAATATGCCCTTCCCTCACTCCCCCCGGCTAGTCTGGGGATGTAATGGCGTTCGGTATTGGCGCTCTTGAATCCCTGCTCTTTGCCCCCCCCCCCCCCTTTTTTCTTTTCCTTTTTCTCTCTCTCTCTCTGTTTTTGGTGTGACTGGACAGATGCATTTAGTTGTTATAATCAGTTACATTAATGTTTTGTAACTTATGTGCCATTGATAGCCCCTGCGTGGGCGTACCTTTTGCCCTGTTGGCATTAGAGCTTTGTTTTTTTTCCCTTTTTTTTTATTTTGCATTTTGTTTATCTGTGCAATTGATAGCCCCTGCGTGGACGTGTTTTATTGCCTCTGTTTATACTGTTTAAAAAATTTAATAAAAACCATTGAAATAGAACATTGATAGGTGCAAGTTTGCCATAATTTCTTATGATATGTGTCAAAGATATGTACCAATTCTGTTTCGTTTGCCTGTGGGGTATATGTATATTGTACTTATCTTATTTCTGTATTCTCTGTGTCTGGAGGTAATGGACACAAATCTCTGTGAATTGTTTGCTTTGGTTTGAAAAATTCAATAAAAACTATTTTGAAAATTTGGACAATTCAGCTGGATTTCAATCAGTGTGTGTTTGTCCCCACTCTTCAGAAGTTAAACAATTGATAGACTTCTGTCGAAGGGACATGTTGGATAAATGTTCACATTTGTATGGATAGAGGAATCTATTGGGGTGGGTGCTTTTGCAACCAGTAGCATCCTTGATGTTGTCAAGAGATAGTCTGAAATGGCACTGGTCCCAAATATTCCACAGACCAGTAACTTAGCTTTAGTACCCTATGCAGATGAACTGATTCGAGACATAAGCAAACAATGTGACAGAAGGCTTTTCAGGAAACTGTTACAGCTGTAATTTTAAGTTACAGCCATCTGCTCCATGCACTCTATAAGTTTTAAAGCCCAAAGTTGGAAACATTACCGATAGAAGCAACATGTTCACCTTGTAGTTTCAGCGTGTCATGCCTCCCAAAATAAGCCTATACATGCTCCTTTAACCACTTCAATACCGGGCACTTTTACCACCTTCCAGTCCAGGTCAACTTTCAGCGCTCTCACACCTTGAATGACCATTGCGCGGTCATGCAATGCTATACCCAAACTAAATTTTTTTCATCATTTTGTTTACAGAACTAGAGATTTCTTTTGGTGGTATTTAATCACCACTGTTTTTTTTTTTTTTCTTGCGCTATAAACAAAAAAAGATAGAAAATATTGGGGAAAAAAAAAAAAAAAAACACGTTTTCTTTATTTCGGTTTTAAAATTTTGCAAATGATTGTTCTTCATAAATTTAGGCCAAAAGATATACGGTTACATTTTTTTGGTGAAAATAACCCAAATCTGTGTTTATTATTTAGTCTGTAGGAAAGTTTTAGAGTCCACAAACTATGGTAAATATCTGAAAATCAATCAGTCCTGCTGTACTAACGGCTGATCTAATTTCTTGAGGTCCAAATATTTCAGGATACCCCCCAAATAACCCCTTTTTAGAAAGCAGACAGTCCAAGGTATTTAGTAAGAGGCATGGCGAGTTTTTATAAGTTTGTGATTTCTTGCCATAATCTTTTGAAGAATGGGGAAATTAAAAAAAAAAAAAAAAAGATGTTTTCACAACTCTTTTTATATATATACGATCACCAATGCAGTACTGGTGAGGCGGTGATCCAGGGACACTGATTATTGACAGTATAGGGGGGGGGGGGAAATGTAAATAAAATTTCTTTCATTTTTTTAAATTGATTTTTTATTACTTATTCTTTTTTTTTTTTTTTACAATTTTTTTTATAGCATACTGTGACCAGAGTAGTATAATGTTACTACAGTAACATTGTACTACTCTGGGGAAGTGACCAGTATTTTATTTATTTTTTTACACATTATGGATTGCCTATAGCAAAGAATTTCATTGCCATCAGAAAGCATTTACCTGAATGAAATCGATTCACATAGTTTTTTTTTTGTTGTGATTAGCCATGATTGGCCATACCATCCATTGAGGAAAGAAAATTGTAAAAAAAAAAAAATATTGAAAAATAAGTAATTTTTCTTTTTTTTATATACTGTCACCAGTCAGTGTCCCTGATCACCACCACACCAGTTATATGATGATGCTGTACTGCACTGGTGACAGTATGTAAAAAACAAAACAAAAGATAAAAAAACAAGGTTAAAACAACTTCAAAACACTTGTCATGCCTCTTACTAAATACCTTGAACGGTCTACTTTCCATACAGGGGTCATTTGAGGGGGTATCTGTACTGTCCTGGAGTTTTCAGGCCTCAAGAAATGAGGTCGTCAGTATATCAGAATTGATCAATTTTCAGATACATAGTTTGTGGACTCTATTATTTAGTCTGTAGGAACGTTATAAACACCAATTTGGGTTATTTTCACCAAAGAAATGTAGCATAATACAGTTTGGCCTAAATTTATGAAGAAACAAAATTTTTGCAAATAAATAATCTAACAAAAACTAAGAAAACAGGTTTTTCAAATTTTTCAGTTTTTTTTTTTTGTTTATTTTGCAAAGGAAAAAAACCCAGTGGCCATTAAATACCACCAAAATAAAGCTCTATTAGTGTGAAAGAAAGTTAAAAATATAATATGGGTAAAGTGTTGCATGACCGCTCAATTGTCATTCAAAGTGCGGCAGCACTAAAAGCTGAAAATTGGCCTGGGCAGGAAGTGGATAACAGTGCCCAGTATTAAAGTGGCTAATCACAGCTGCTTATGACATTATGAGGCCTTGTTCACATGGAAGCTGATGCCCATACACACTAAATAGGCCTTTTGTTTCTGTGTCGCTAACGAGGGTGCTGTGTGTACCAGCCCAGGTAAGTCTATACTAATGCAGTGGCTGTAAGGACACAGCCACTCGTCCCAATGTGACAGGCATGCGGGTACATAGCCCCAAACACAGTATGTTCAGGACCACTCATTCGCATGCATGTCAAATCAAAACGAGAGACTGTGTCCTTCTAGGCTTATGCTTCCTGCTAGGAAAAAAATGGCCCATTCATGGTGTACAGGCATCCGTGCCCATTGAAAAGTTCTTAGAGTTTATTAAAATTGTTGATTTGTTGGATAACATGGTTATAGAGGTTACCTGCAAAGAATCAGGCACATGCAAGGCAGCAATGGACTTCCTGAGCTAGTAAGTATGCATTTCTTAAAAGTCAGCATCTACAGTACTTTTACGGTTTTCCTATAACTCGGTAAAGCTCCTCTGCAATGGATCTCTATTAACTGGTCACAAAGGATAACTTGTCCTATTTTATTCACCATTTGTTTGGACATCTTTTTAAGCCATCTTTTCACATTCTACATTTGCAAAATGATCCTAAATGTGTAGTGAACTGACAAATCAGGCAGCCCCACCTGGCTTATCTAACCCCAAAAAGAAACACATCCTCAGTATCCTATGAAACTGCAACCCCCCCAATCCACCTTGCTAGAGAAAATCAGGACATCAAGGCACCAGTTTCATTAGGATTAGGTCTCCTTTCACACAGCATCAGTTGCAGAAAGGCAATCGGTTTACAAATCATAAGAACATTGCGTGCCTGATGGATCTCTTTTGTATATTCAGTTGTGATATAGATTGCATAGCTGTGCATGTAAGATATGTGAAGACTACTCTTTGCATTTGTCAGTTAATGTATACAGTTTGTAGCTTACAATGCAGCCTTGCCATTTACATCTTTGCTGAAAACAAGCATTGTTGCACCCAACTCTCTGACAGAATGCTGCATAATCTGCTAACTTAATGTTACCATAAGGGAAAACTTACTAAAGGATGTAGGGTACACCCACACACAAAATTAATATCTTACATGTTGTGGTTCCTCTTCTGCTGACATTGCATTGTTCACGCAAAGTGCTTCCAAAAACTTCTGCTTCAGGATTATATATCGAAACCTGTACAGGGACATTGGGAGAAGTATTACTTTTTAAATCCTGTAAACCCTGTGATTTTATTTATAGTCAGGTAACATCATCCTAAAGCACGGTTATATTTAGACTATGCTTGTAGATCTGTCACAATGATAAAAATTACCTTTTCTTGTCAAACTTCTCCATGCACTCCAGAGGCTGGATAAACTGAAGAACTTCATCCCACTGTCCATCAAGAATCAGTTGTCTAGATAATTAACATGAAATATACAAATAAACCCTTTCCATTGAAGAAAAAGCACACCATGCACATTTTGTTAAAACCTAAATTTTTATCTTTAACATGCCTGCATCAGATATCTAAAAACAGATTCAGAAGCTTGTAAGAATAATTTTTATTCATACACCACCATAGCAGCAAAACATAAAAGTTATAAAAAATCAAACATAGAAATTAGATGAGTGACATTCCTTGCATTCTCTCCTGACGGTCTCTTTATATCCAATAAGGTTGTACAGTTGACTGTGACTATGCCCTGGTACACACCGCTGCGACTTGTAATGCGAGTTGACAGTGTCAAATTGTATGACAAGTTACGCCCTATGATCGGCAATGGAACCATTCTAATCGGTGCAACTCCGACTGCGTCAGAGTCACACGGATTTGAAAAGTAGTTCCTGCACTACTTTTGGCGATATCTGGTGCGACTTGCATTGACATCTGTGCATGAAGTCGCACAGATGTCTGCCAAGTCGTATTGACATGCAACTTTGTAATCGTGCGACTTCACTTGCAGTCACACAATTTCAAAGTCGGATCTGGTGTGAACCCAGATGGAGTGCTTGAAACATTTCAGAGGCTTAGTGGCTGCTGTTTTCTGATGTTTATTTACAGCTAGCCAAAATAGATCATCATGCGTGCAAACCACAGTGCGAAAAAAAGGCTACTATCTGCCTAGAGACAATCAAATATACAAAACCAAATATACAATCATCCAGGTTAATTTAAATAGCAGGCAACAGATGGGCATTAGTGTGTATGGCTGGGGTATCCAGCATAAACAAACAGTTAATTACTGCCTCATCTTAAAAGGAAATTTAATAGGAAACACTGATCCTGTGGCATGAGGTGATTTTGAGAAGATCTTCCCATCTTTTACATATATTTATTTATTTTTTCATTTATTTTTATCATCAACTCCAACTTCACAAAGCAGATCCTTAGGGACTGTTTTGTAATTTATGCAAAGCATAATGTATAATTTTTCCATATGCAGTGCCTAGAGATGTGCATATTTGACACTTTACATGTTTGAATTCTGGAGCGGATCTGACTGAATCATAACATCAGCTGACCAAGCCCCACCAGCACAGTGCAGCTTCTTAAATACTGTATAGTTCTAATTTGAAAATATATTTGGCAGAGAGAAGCCATCTACAAAGTGAGCCATGCCTCCCAGGGGCTCCAGTCTGCACAATTACAAACTGATCTATATGTATGTGGAATGAATTTGGTAGGAGCAAAAATGGAGTGTTACTTTATCCTCCTCCTCCTAAAAAATGCTTGGTTGTCTCTGATTCAAACCATTTAAACAATGACCTAGAGCAAGCATATAGAGCAAGAAAATCAGAGTGAATCCAGGGGGTAATTCACTAAAGGCAAAGAGACTGTGCACTCTGCACAGCTTCACATCATACCCAATCAGGTGCAAGGAAAATTAAACCAAAAAGACATTTTTGCTTGCACATGATTGGATGATGGAAATCAGCAGAGTTTCACCACATTCACTAAGCTCTGTGTAAAATGAGTGCAAATGCACTTGCAAAAATGATTGTCCAAAAATAGTGTTATTGGCATTTCGCAGCTAGAAAAAAAAAAGTGCCGATAATGATCTTTAATGCAAAATCACGTCCCTTTGACTTCAATAGGAAAACACCCCCTATGGACGTCAATGCAAAAAACGCCTCTATTTAAGTTTTTTAATTTTATATACATTTCATTCTCGGTCCAATTTTTGTGTGTTACTTTCAGTCATAGTTATTTTACGTTACTGGATTTCATTTTTTAAATTCATGTTCATTAAATTAATTATATTAAATTAAAAAGTCGAATATAAACAAATATATATACCGTATTTTTCGCTCCATAAGACGCACCTAGGTTTTAGAGGTGAAAAACAAGAAAAAAAAAATATTCTGAACCAATGGACTGCAGACACAGTACATGGAGATGCGGACACAGACCAGAGACTGTGCAGGGATGACAGACTGCGGACACAGTGCAGGAGATGACCAGAGACTGCGGACAGTGTGGACACAGTACAGGGGATGACCAGAGACTGCGGACTGCAGACACAGTACAGGAGATGACCAGAGACTGCGGACACAGTGCAGGGGATGACCAGAGACTGCGGACACAGTGCAGGGGATGACCAGAGACTGCGGCACAGTGCAGGGGATGACAGAGACTGCGGACACACAGGGGATGGAGATGCGGACACCAGACCAGAGACTGCGGACACAGTACCAGAGACTGGACACAGTGCAGGGGATGACCAGAGACTGCGGACACAGTGCAGGGGATGACAAAGACTGCGGACACAGTGCAGGGAGGGGATGACACAGATGACTGCGGACACAGTGCAGGGGATGACCAGAGAGACTGCGGACACAGTGCAGGGGATGACCACTGCGGAGCAGGGGATGCAGGACTGCGGACACAGTGCAGGGGATGACCAGAGACTGCGGACACAGTGCAGGGGATGACCAGAGACTGCGGACACAGTGCAGGGGATGACCAGAGACTGCGGACACAGTGCAGGGGATGACCAGAGACTGCGGACACAGTGCAGGGGATGACCAGAGACTGCGGACAGTGGACACAGTGCAGGGGATGACCAGAGACTGCGGACAGTGCAGGGGATGACCAGAGACTGCGGACACAGTGCTTTGCAGGGGGGGGGGACTGCGGTACCTGACACATTTGACAGGTACCCGCTGCAGGGGATGACCACTTTTGCAGGGGATGACCAGAGACTGCGGGAGTTGCCTTCCCAGTGCAGGGGATGACCAGAGACTGCGGACCAGGGGCGGCTTGACCAGAGACTGTGACCAGAGACTGTGGACCTTTGGGGAGGGAGGGGGAGCGGGTACCTGAATTTGACAGGTACCCGCTCCCACTTCCGCGGAGTTGCCTTCCCTCTTCTTCCCGGGCCGGCTTCTGTGACAGCCGGGTGCCCACTGCGCATGTGCGAGAAGCGCTGCGCTTTTGTGAATGGCCCGGCGCCTTCTGGGACCTTTCATGTGTCCCAGAAGACACCGGATCATTCACAAAGCGCCGCACATGCGCAGTGGGCACCCGGCTGTCACAGAAGCCAGTGCGGGAAGACTGTGCAGCGCTGGAGCGAGGAACAGGTAAGGCCCTGCAGGAGAAAACAGCTGAGCGGCCGGCCTGGTATTCTGACATGGTGGCCGCAAAAATACCGGACCGGCCACTTTATATTCGCTCCATAAGACGCACTGACATTTTCCCCCCTTTTTTGGGGGGAAAAAAGTGCGTCTTATGGAGCAAAAAATACGGTACTTGTATTTTTTACTGAAATTTAGCGGTAATATCATGTGACAAAAAATTTGAACTACCACTATTTTATTCTCTAGGGTGCCTGCTTTCAGAAAATATATAATATTTGGGGGTTTTGTGTAATCTTCAAGCCTAAAATAATTTTTTAAACTTGTGCAATAAATGCAAAAATGGCTCTGGCAGCGAAAGGGATAAAGGATAAGCCGGACACTCCCCTTTCCAGACGAGCACCCAATCGGTGCTCACTACACTGGTCTCTCTCCTCCCTGCTAGTTCCCGGGTGTGGAGCTGGAGAAAGGTAGAGAGGGGAGGAGGAGATAAACCTGCGCAATATTAAAAAATATTACACGTTTAAGTCACCATAAAGCCCCTTTTGTTTTTAAAAGCCCCAGATATTCCTAAAATCACCTCAGATTTAAATACAGTTTTGGTTAAAATGTATTTATTGTTTTATCTGGACAAGTAGATTGTCATGAGGGACAAGTAGATTGAGGCACCGATTTAGTCCCTGGACAAGTAGTTTTTTCAAAAATGTTTACATCACTGTAAATGGCATTCAAAAATGGAAATCCAGACTCAAGCATTATATAATCTCATACTTTATGTTTTAGAGTAATGCCTTTTCAATTACAAATCGTACTGTTTAGGAGATATTCATACAGCATGCAGCCGTTGACGTCACTGGCACATGCATTCTGAATAGACAGCCATTCATATAGTGAGAGTCCTCGAACATGGAAGGAAGACCGGGTGAAGACGGCTGCACCCAGAAGCCACGATAGCACTGGAGGGTTCCGTGTCCAAGTAGTTTTGTCATAATGTGCTAGTATATGGTGCATACTATGACTTAAACCTTCAGGGGCACGATTTTTTTTTTTCTTCTTACTACCGCTTTAAGAGCCCCTCAATACACTAGCAGATATAACACCAATAAAAAGCCAATCAAGACAAGTAACAACAATTAATCTCTGTAAAGAGAAAGCCAGCATGATGAATGTGGTGTTTCTGCTACCAAACACACAAAGGTCTCTAACTCTGCTACAGATGTCTGTCTACAGAGTGCATGTAGAATATTTGAGCTAAGCTTATAGTGAGAACATAATGTTCTGAGTCCCAAAACACTTAGAAACTTCTGAATATAAATGACATTGTGGTTCGAGAAAAGTTAAACCCAAAAGGAAGGTATAAAAATGAAAGGCCCAGGAAGGCAGGACGGAAAAAGTGTATGCTTATACTTACCATTCATCAGGGCTCAACAAATCCCAGGCACCAGGTCATCACTAGGCATAAGCAACCCCTACCGCCCGATGTCCTGGGCATGCAGCTCCAAGCTGACCCAGTTCCAACATCCAAAAACAAAAAAATTCCAGCTCTGCTGCTTACCCACAGCAGAGCCCAAGCTCTCTGTCAGACCTGCTGCCAAACTCCCCAGCAACTCCCCCCCCCCCCCAAACCCTCCCTGCCAGTCCATGTGCGCAGCAGGGAGGTGAACAGAGTCCAGCCCACACAGCATGCCACACACCACAACACAAACACACCATAAACTCTCAAAAAGGCTCAAAAGGGACATGCATCCCCCAGTGAGAAAGCGGTTCCACTCAGCAGGATCGCAACCAAAAGAGACAGCAGCCCCAAATAATTTTTTTTTTTTTTTGTTAAAAATAAATAAATAAATAACTCTGAATTTAGGAACCTTCTAAAAAAGTTAAAAGTAAATTTGTCAAGCCCTGCAAAATTCCAACAATTATTTAAACGTGGACTATGGTAACATACCTGAGAAAAAGCATGTCATCAGAATAGAGCCCATTTATCACCCCACTCTCCTTCTCCAGGGCCAGCATGCTGATGTGCAGCTTCTTGGCATTGAGAAAGTCTAGAATCAGCTTGGTGATCTCTACTTCTTTAACATTTACAGTTTCCTCGGCCGTCATTGTGATGGTCTGAAAAAAGAAAAAAAAAAAAAAAAAAAAAAAAAAGAATTTGTTTACCTCCATGGCAATGTTTCATAACAATCAGCCAGCAAACAAAGCTAGAGAATAAAAACATTCCATTTGTGAAAAGCACTACTGAGGTTTCAAATAAAGAGTAATAAAGTAAAGAAACATGCCCACTGTGCAAGATGATGAACAAATATAGTTCTATAGGATTATATCTGTTTATATAAAGCTCTGCATAAACACGCCAGCCAACAGTTACATGACAGGTAACATGAGCTGTTAGTCTAGAAGCCATGCACACCCTGTTGCTACCTCTCACAAAACGCTTACGCTGTGTCTACACCTTGGGTGTGAGCAGGGATGAAGAAACCCCAGGTATAAACTTATGCTGCTTTCAGAAACTATCAACATTGATTACCGGTATGTTCAGTCTCTGATTTGCCAAGGAAAACTCTCAGAGCAAATTTTCTTTATAAAATTCACTAAATGTGAAAAGATTATTTTTCAAAATATCTGGAAAGTTAAGCAGGAGCATACTTCATAGAGATGATTAAAGCTGAAATCCAAGTTAAAGGATAAGTTCACCTTTTGCACAAAAAATAATAAATGCATCTTTTTTTGCAGGTAACAAAAAGTGCATTTATTATTTTTGTCTGCAGGAGCCTGTAAAGCATTGCACCAGCGATCATAGATCGCTGATGCCATGCAGGTCTCCTGCAGACCTGTCAGTATATCTGCTTGCTGTACAGGATGTACAAGCAAGCAGATATACTGACAGAAGACTTCATGAACTGCAATGAACTGCTCCACAGTGCCGTGATATTTCATTGAAAACTACAAGCCGACAGCCGCTAAGCCTGTCAGGTCTTTCAGTTCATTCATTCACGGAAGTCTGTGAATGAATGATGTGGCTGTGTGGGCGGAGCCCCGCACAACTGCGCTGTTTTCAAATCTGACAGATAGTATGAGGGAACGTCTCCCCATACTTCTGTCAGATGGGGGCAGCAGGCAGTGGCTGCAGCATTGGGAACATGTTACATATTCCACCCTAAAAACAGGTGGAACACGTAACATGTTCCCAAAGGTGAACTTATCCTTTAAGCAAATATTGTCTAAATACATTTTATATTATTACTTGAATCTTGGGTGTGCTTTCTAATCCAGCATGAAACAACTACTGCACTTTGCCTCTTCCTGTACTAAAGACTGGTCACTGCTACCCATTTTGTAGTTTTCTGCAGACAGCATGTAGTGTGCTGATGTGCTGGGTTCCTCCCAGAGCTCCACGCAGGCAATGTACAGTACACAAAGCTACTTTTACAAGGTAATATCTGGGCTTGAAAGGTTCTTGGTGCATACAAAGTGAATTGACAGTACATTCTTTGTGGCTAGTATTGATGAAGATATTTCAATGAACGTTTTTGTGCCAGGAGTTCCGCTGTAAATGAACCCCCATAGAAAAGCAGACAAAAAGGTATGCAATAGAGAAAAAGTGTGCATGTTTGGTGGCAGAAGACCACTCCTCACCAAGAAAGTACAGGAGCTGCCATCACTGGCTTCTTCCTAAAAACAGCTTGCCTGGTTGGGTTATCTGGTTTTATTGCTTTAAGCAAAAGACCCTGAAAATGCATATTAAATAGCCAGCAGAATTTTTATCTCAGCGCTTGTTCCAGGTCAGTGATTCAGAAAGTATTTAAGCTAATGAGTTAGCATGACAGCCAGTGAACCAATAATCTAAAAAAGGAGAGGTCATCAATTACATAAAAGCTTAAAAGTAATTACTAAATAGTAGCTGGGTTCCCTTCCTATGCTCCCACTGGAATCCATTGACTGCAGGAAGTAAAACAAACACAGAGGTACACACATCACAGCCAGAGCCCACCACTAAATATTAGGTCATTACTGTGCTCTTTAACTTCAATGTAAACCACTGTTTGCAACCACTGTACCTTAACCCATTACTGTTCCCCCTTACATTCAGTGAAGATCAATCTTTACACCAGGTTCACAGTGAATGTGATATTGAAATTGTGCCATTTCACTTGAAGTAACTCTATTTTAACCTCCCTAGCGGTATGATTATTTCAGATTTTTGGTGCTTAAAGCGGTACATTTTTTTGCATGGAAATATGTATTTTTTTTTTATTGTAGGCTGTAATTCTTAGGAATAACTTACTGAAATCTGTCCGAACAATAGTCTAGTAAACATCCCGGGTAGGATAAAACTTGAAACACGAAATCATAAATTATAATTTAATAAATAATCATAAAAATTATTTAATAATAATACATTTAATTAAATAATATAATCAAACCAAAAACACTGAAATTTTAGATATAGCGCCAAGTTCACACATCACTGAGTAAAGTCGCAAAATTGTTTTCAGTGTCTGATGACGAATTTCCCCATGAATCATTATCACTCAATTCTGCAAGTAGTTCTGATTTACTATCGCTGTTCTCTAGCTGATCTAAAACCGCTTTTGACCTAAAGGGACACTTTTTGGACGCCATGGACATTTCTCAGTTTCCAGGCAATAAGAACAGTAAAAATGCAGGCAGGGCACAGGACAAAGCACTAGGGACAAAATGTATGTGAAATGGTTTGATACAGTAATGTTTTACTATGTGATTTTAGTGATTTTAGTGAATGTCACTTTTTGTCATTTTCAAATTTCCCGCCGTTCCGTCCCCCGTACGTCCCGACGCTCGCAGGAGATGGAACCCAGAAGACAGATGCCGGCATCCGCCGGATTACATTGCCGGGGACACTGCAGGGGGACATCATGGGAGCGCAGGACAAGGTAAATGATCGAGGGATCGCGGAGCAGTGCCGCATGGTATTTCCAAGTGTAGCTCGGGGTTACCGCTTGTGGTACTGAACCTTTACCCCGAGCTACACTCGGGAATACCGCCAGGGAGGTTAAAGCTGTGGATAGGTGCAAATTCAGGTGCGACATGTCTGACATCTCTCCGACTTCGTGCACAGATGTCAATACAAGGTGCACCTGAAATCATCGAAAATAGTGCAGGAACTATTTTCAAAATCTGTGTGACTCGGATTTGAAAGGTTCCATTGACAATAGGATGCGACTTGTCATGTGATTTGGAACTGTCAAATCGCATGACAAGTCACACCAGTGTGAACCAGGGCTTAAGGCTGCATTCAAACTGATCTGTTTTTCTTCTGCTTTGGCAGAAAAAAAAAAAAGTGAAAGAAAAATGCACGACCATGAAGTTGTGTGGGACTCTTTAAACTGATCAGTTGCAGGTCTGCTGAGTTTTGTAAAATCCTGCCTGCTTGTTTGGTTCAGTAAGAAAAAAAAAAAAAAAAAAAAACGCACCTCCTCATTGTAATGAATGAAAAACACACAAAAAAAAATGCACTCGCGGTTTTGTTTTTGGTGCATTTTTCAGCCATGTTTTTGTTTTGTTTTTTACAGCATTTTTGCAACAGAGCAGTGTGAAAGTATCCTTACAGTGCAAGCTTTAATGCCAGCACATTAGCCATCAATGTAGCTTACAGTTTTTGTGAACTTTATCACAGTACAGTAACCCTTAAAGTGCACCCACTTTCAACTTTCATAAGCCCTTTATTATGAAAGTCCACACACATTACACTTTACAATGTTACCCTTCATTGTGCAACCACTATTTACTGTACATCATCAACATCAAATTAACTTAATACTGTGTCATTTCTATGTATTGTATAGAAATGATTTAACACCTATTTCATGTTTTCTGTACATCAAGTCCTTTCAGGCCACTTTACATAGAGCAGGGGTAGGCAAACTTTTGAGCAAAGTGTGCCGAAAAACGTTTCCCAAGAAATTGAGAGTGCCGGTAATTATATATACAGTTGTGTTCAAAATAATAGCAGTGTGTTGAAAAAAGTGAATAAAGCTCAAAATCCTTCTAATAGCTTTTATTTCCATACACACAAATGCATTGGGAACACTACACATTCTATTCCAAATCAAAACATAAAGAAAATATATCAAATTTGTGTTGTTCCTCTAAAAAAATTGAAGACAAGTGAATATTAGACTGTTTAAAAAAAATAGCAGTGTTTGTATTCTTCTTTACAAACTCAAACATTCACTATATAAACTGAAAAATATTTGAAGATTTTGCTTTCCTTTGAATCGCTTAATATTTGAATCACTTAATTAATATTTAGTTGTATAAGCACTGTTTCTGAGAACTGCTGTACATCTGTGTTGCATGGAGTCAACCAACTTCTGGCACCTGTGAACAGGTATTCCAGCCCAGGATGATTGGACTACATTCCACAGTTCTTCTCTATTTCTTGGTTTTGCCTCATAAACTGCATTTTTGATGTCACCCCACAAGTTTTCTATTGGATTAAGATCCGGGGATTGGGCTGACCACTCCATAACGTCAATCTTGTTGGTCTGGAACCAAGATGTTGCACGTTTACTGGTGTGTTTGGGCTCGTTGTCTTGTTGGAACACCCATTTCAAGGGCATTTCCTCTTCAGCATAAGGCAGCATGACCTCTTCAAGTATTCTGATGTATTCAAACCGATCCATGATCCCTGGTATGCGATAAATAGGCCCAACACCATAGTATTGAGAAACATCCCCATATCATGATGCTTGCACCGCCATGCTTCACTGTCTTCACAGTGTACTGTGGCTTGAATTCAGTGTTTTGGGGTCGTCTGACAAACTGTCTCCGGCCACTAGACCCAAAAAGAACAATCTTACTTTCATCAGTCCACAAAATGTTGCGCCATTTCTCTTTAGGCCAGTCAATGTGCTCTTTGGCAAATTGTAATCTCTTCAGCACATGTCTTTTTTTCAACAGTGGGACTTTGCGGGGGCTTCTTGCAGATAGCTTGGCTTCACATAGGCGTCTTCTAATTGTAACAGTACTCACAGGTAACTTTTGATCTTCCTGGAGCTGATTTGTTGGCTGAGTCCTTTCCATTTTGGCTATTCTTCCATCCATTCAAATGGTAGTTGTTC